CTCATACATTATTATTTTTTCTTTTACAAAATCTTAAATGATTTTGAATTCAATGAATCAACAAAAACGATTATAAGATAACAGCAAATAACCCACACTAGATGATGAAACCATGATCCGATGATGGTGTTGTTGTTGATATTATTGGTGATGTTATTGATGATAGTAGTGATGATTACGGTGCTGATAACATTGATGATGATGATGATAATAATAATAATAATAATGATATTGATAGTGGTGATGACGGTGATGAGGATGATATTGATAACGATTGTATGATAAAAGTGCTGATGAAAAGAGTGAAGATGTTTTGAGATTTCGTTTGCAAAATTGTTCAGCAGAATACCTAAAATCTGGGTAGTATCTGTATTTATGCCAAATAGTTACTGTTCGCCTTCGCAGTGTCTGATCTTACACTCTTCATAATTGAAATGTGTAGCTGTAGGAGAATCAAATTTTTGTTAGAGTTAGACTACAGGCAGCAAGCAGCAGTGAAATTAGACTTTTTTCAGATTCATCTAATTCAACTAATATATCAAAGAGGCATCAAAAAATACGTTTTCACTTTGTTTTGGCATTAATTTTAGTCTTGTTTCTCTGTTGTTACTTTTTTCTCTTTTATTTTATTTTTACTTTTTTTGCTTGTAAATGTTCTTTTTCTTTTGTACACTATTGATATTCATACAGGTCAAACGGTGTCACCACTTAACAGCATCGGTTTGAACTGATGGCATCAGAACAGCTGAGGCGTTTCACTGAAATATTTAGATGAACGAATGGCGTATGACGAACCGACTAAATCAACACAGAAATAAACACCGAGGCAAATAGATATGCATACGCATAGAACTGTAAATTGAAGACAAACTAGTTGATAAATAGTCCACTTTGAACGAAGTATGGAATGTAGAAACACTGTTTTTTTTTTTCTTCGTAATTTTTAAAAATTTGTCTAAGACTATGCAAAAAGTGTTATACGAATGAAAAAGAACAATATATAAGTTTTTCCCCCTTCTTTCATCCCATAATGCAACAGATGGAGCCAATTTTTTCAATCTGTTCTTTTTTTTCAATATTTCCTTATAAAACATTTCAGTTGCTTTTAAGCACATGTAAACGACAAAAGACCAAACTTTCTTCACTGTGTAAACATACATATCCTTTAATGGTCTTTCAAGTACAAAAATTTCTTGCTTTAAAAAAACATTATTGTTAAAATACCTTTTACGTTTAAATTTGAAATAAACAGTCATAATAAAGTGAAGCAATGCAAGAAAAAGAAACGAAGAGAAATTATTTTTTTTTCTTGTTTTATCCGATGAATAAATCGGATGAAAATAAAAAAATTTTGTTTGTGGAGGTGGAAAAGAATTGAAAAAAAAAAAAAAGCTGAGCAAAAAGTGAAAAAATTTAGTCGATTTTTCTAATGATTTTTTATAACTGTATCGAAAATATGTATTTATTTCTAATATATAATAAATGTGAAAACAGAAGCAACAAAAAAAAAAAAAAATGATTGCTTAAATTGTTAGTGATAAAAATTGGTTGAACCTTTAGATACCGGGCAAAACTGATATTTGATTTATGATATTGGCTACTTTTGCTTTGGATTACTGGTTTTCAGAAACATCCTTAGAGCTCAATGTTGCTTATTGTTTGACTTCTGTTCAGTTAATAATTGCTGTTTGTTGTCATTTACCCTCTCAACCAATACCGTTATTGTTTTTATTGTTGTTATTTCTGCTGCTGCTGCTGCTGCCGTCACTGACTGCTATGGATTGTATCATTTTCAACAATTTGTCTGCTTGTACATAATAAATAATAATAATAATCATAATAACAGTAACAGTAATAATAACATCAATAATACTTGTAGCAATGATGATGGTGATGATGATTATTTGAAGTAGTAATATAAAGTAATGAGAACAAAATTTAATGATATAAATGCAGATTGATTAATGAAAAAGGAAACAGTAAGGATAAAAGTTG